GAGTTCTGGAAGTCCTCTTTCATGAATATCTTTACAAGCGAGGTGTGATCAAAACGACAGCGAATGCCACTGCCAAGTGCCACCCAATGGAAAAGCAGGCTCCTGAAAACATGGCAGTGCGTCCTCATTCGCCTTATTCACCAGACCTGGCAACATGGAACTTCTGGCTCCTTCCCAAAGTCAAAATGACCATGGAAGACAAATGTTTTGAGTCATTTCGGGACATCAAAGCAACCATGACAGAACAACTACAGGCACTCACAGATGAGGACTTCCAGAACTACTTCAGGAAGCGGCAAGGACAATGGAATAAGTGTAAAGCGGGGGTGGGGTGCTCTGAGGAAGAGAAATGGTCAATGTGTCTTTTACTGTAATCAATTTTTTTAAATTTAAACATTCACTGTACTTTTCAATCACACTGTGTATCTGGAGCATTTACTATCATGCTGAGAACACTGAAGGGGAAAAGTCAGGTAGACTCAATGTGGACACCCGCCCACCACGAGACGCAGGCCCACCTCTTGTGTACGAGTCTGTGCCTCGCTAATGGGCTTTACTTTCCAGTGAGATGAGATCATCTCCTGGTCTCTGTCACCAGGCCCTGGCCCACCTGGGGTCAGCAAAAGCTGGGGCCCCGGGCTCTGAGCTGCCCCATGGGGCCATCTCTGTGCAGTAACACAGGATGGAAGGCCATCGGCTGTGCTACCTTACATTTGTATCCCACTCACTTATTTTAACACTCGCTTGGAGTATCCATACGCTTATTGTAAGTATTACAGTCTTACTACATTTAGAGTTTAAACTTGTTAATTTGAAAAAAATAAATACATAAACTTGTTAATTTGATAAATGTAAACATGTCAGTCACAAGACGATTTCTGCAATGTTCTCCATTGGCAATCCTCCTCCCCCTCCTCCTCCTCCTCTCTCTCCTCCTTCTCCTTCACCACCTCTTCCTTTTTAATATACTGGAAAGCTTTTTTTAAAAGGAGCCCCGAGCTGGCCTGGGCCTCCCCTGGCCTGAGAGGTCACTCCAGGTCAGCAGGCCTGCGCCTCAGGGAGTCTCTGCTCCCTGGTAAAAGTCCATTAGCTCCGGCTGACTGCTGTCCTAAAGGCAGTGGCCTTCTTTACGAGGGCTATGTTTGTCACCTGCTAACTTGTTTATTGGACCAGTACTGGGCTGGGGAGGGAGAGTGGGCGTGAAGGTCACAAGTAGGTGGGAATTGCACACCTCCGCCTGAGCCTCTCCTTGGTCATTATTTTCCCAAAATGGCCTGGGGGGGAGGGGGTGAGTGGGGGGTAAAAGCCCTCCTTGAGCTAACACATGACAAGCCAGCACAAAAGAACTGCAAACAGGCCCCTAATTAATGGGTTTGCTTAGAGCTGTTTCCCTGTTTAGGGACTTCATCCCAATAATTGCAGGCTCCATAATCATTAATCAGTCACCACTACCTTTCTGGGGTGCCGACCACAAGCCCGGCCCTGTGCCAGCAACCACGAGTGAGAAGAGTAGAGAACAGGAACCAAGCTGTATCACCCAGCTCCGCTGGGCTAGGTGACTCCAGCGCAGGAGCTCACGGACGCTCAGGGTGATCCCAAGAGGAAGGCTCGATGACCCCCTGTGTACAGATGGGGAAACCGAGTCTCCAAGAAGTTAACCAGCTCCAGGTCATTGGCTTACAAATGCGACTTGGCACTTGAACTGGGGTCTGGCCCCCTGAGAGGTAACAGACAAAACGTTCAAAAATGGTGCCAAAGCAACAGGGCTCAGAGCTGACTGTACGAGGCACGTTCTGACCGTAAGAGCTGGAGAGGGCAGGAGACACAGGGCAGCGAGCCCAGCAGAGGACCTCTCAACCTCCCGAAGAGGATGACACATGCACTGGACCCTGAAGGCTGGAGAAAATGGCGCATGTTTAATAAATTGTACTCAGGCGCTTTCTCCCATCACAAGTCCAAAGCTAGAAGGGACTGTGGAATTTGTGCCTCACTTGGGGCCAATAAACATTTACTTAAATGTCCAAAGAGGACATACACACACACACACACACACACACACACACGCATATGCACACACACGTACACACACGCATGAATGCACACGTGCAGACTCACCTCAGCCGTTCCAAATAGTGCCTGGAAAGGGCACAGCAAAAGAGGAGCTCAGCAGGCAGCAAGCTGTTGGCGTCAGGCACCACAAGGATTAGGGCCTCGGCCAAACTGAGAGGAGACGGAGCCAGCGAGTCCTGTGACCACCCTGGACCAGGAAGGTTGGCAGCTCCGAGGAATGTCTCATCCAAGTGCCCGATTTAGACTTTGTCCCAGAACATGAAAAATGCCAGAGAAGAAGAGAGGGGCCTGGGCATGATGATGAATGGGGGCCAGCGAGGAGCTGGGCACCTTCTTTCCCAGTTTTCCCAGCCCTCTTGCCTCAGAGCTGGCCCAGCTCAACCCCTGACAGACACCAGCCAGGTGTTCAGAGCCCCAGTTCCACAGGAAGAAACACACATCATGGCCCCATACAGATTCACCCAGGAGTGCTTTCTGGACCCTGGCCACACTAATGTCTCCACCAGGCAGAGACTCAGGAGCCCAGGCCAAGACTGGACCTGGACAGAGGTGGCTAGAGAGGAGAGCTGGCCAGCAAGGCCCATACCAGCCCATTCCCCGACGGACATAGGCACACCAGCACCAGCCTGAGGGAATCCCATGAGGCAACCTGGTCTTCCCTAGAGTTTGGATAAAAGTTGAGCCTGGCCCCCAAGGCTCACAAGCCCATTCTCCACAGCTCCCAGGACCTAAGACGTCATCTGTGACAGCACACAGCAGGCCTGGTTTCGCCAACAGGCTGTGCTTCCAGACTGGATTCCAAAGTGGGCTGCAGGCCTGGGGAGAGAGGCCTACTCTTCCTCCAGTGGCCAAGTCTCATAAGCTCTAAGAAACAGCAGCCTGGCCCTAGGGAAATGGCTTGGAGCTCATGACTAAATTCTCGCCAAAATATCATAAGCCAAAGTCCAAGTAGCCAGCAAGGTCCAGGCCCAGGTCCACCAACCCATCAGCACAGTTCATCAGCAGCCCAGGTCTCAACGCAAGCTGAAAGGGGGTATCGAACTCAGGGTAACTGCAGGCTATGCTGTTCACCCCTCCCTTCACGCAGCTTTTCTCCCAACCTTCCACAGAATCTCTAGCTGTTTCTGCCCTCAACTAAGTGGTCAGGGAGGAAAAAGACCCATCTATCATTTTAATTAGCCACAAGATATTGATGTTTCCCTTGAGAGTCTTCCGGGGGCCACATCGAAGGTCCCTGGGAGAGACGTCTGGAAAGACCAGCATTCCACACTGCCGCCCATCAGGAGAGGGACACGAGACGACCGGAGGCAGAGAAGGAGACGAGAGAGCCTGGCTTTCTCGAGCCTTGAATCCCAGAAGAAATACAAAACCAAGTCTGCAACTTGCATTTAAACTGCAGTGATTTATTGCTCTGGGAAGATGGCGGTGCCTTGAGGGAACGCGGGAGACTTCCAACAAGAGACAGCGTAGAGGAGATTCTTCCAAGGAGTCCCAGCTCTCCCGAGCCTCAGCAGTGCCTGAGTGTCCAAGGAGTACTCAGAGCCGCACTCCCCTCCGGAGCACCCAGGGGAGAGGAGGCAGGGCCTCGGAGCTAGGCCCGGCCTCCTGCACCCTCTTGGCTTCTTGTCGGGCCCTTCAGCAGACAGAGAACAGGCCAGCACCAGCTTAGCTCTGTTTAGAGCAGGCTGGAGGGATGAGCTGAGGCACCCTTCCTGATCCGTCTCGCTGCACATCCCCAGCCGTGTGTCGCTGTAGCTGCATCCTCACTCCTCTTGCTGGCGGCTGTCTCTTCCCCACGCTCAGCCTCCCTTTTCCCCTCCGTCAAGCCCCCTCCCCACTCCGAAGCCAGCAGGGGATGAGCAGCCCTGAGCCAAATGGAATGGGAAACTGCACTTTGAACGTTTCCATAGAGCAGCCTGCTGAAAGCCAGACACACCGGCTTCAGACACTGAGCAGCCGCTGCAGGGAGATGCTACAGCTGCCAACTGGTGAGCCAGGCTTTCCTTTCCACCCCCCACTTCTACGCCATCTGAGTCACCATAGGCTCAACACCGTTACCTCCAGCCCCCTAAGCTCCCTGTGCACATGCAGCCTGAACTGGGCGAGCAACAGCTGGAGAAGAGGCCATTTCTGAGGAATTCCCTACCTTACCACCATTATTTCAGGAGAACCTGGAAGAAATGAAGCTCAAGGACATGAGCCACACCCAGAGCCACCTGTGCATGCTCACACGCATACTGGAGCAACCCCTGTAGAGCCCAGGATGGTGGACCTCCTAGCGACAAGATCCACCCGTGGACCTTACCTCATATAATAAGAGCAAAAGCCCTAATGCAAAGCCAGATTTTCCAATAGAGAGATTGAGGGTTGTCTAAAAAAGGGGGTTGCCAAATACACAAGACAGGGGCTGGGGATTTAGCTCAGCGGCAAAGCGCCTGCCTGGCAAACGCAAGGTCGTGAGTTCGATTCCTGCTACAGGAAGAAAAACAAAACAAACAAACAAATACACAGGACATACAGATAAAAGTGAATTTCAGATAAGCAATAAATAACTTTCTAGTATAAGTATATCCCAAATATTGTGTGGGTCATATTTATGCTAAAAATTATTCAACATTTATCTGAAACTCAAATTTTACTGGGTGCTTTGTGTTTTTATTTGTTACATTCAGCAACCCTACCTTGGGGCTACTTGACTGTACAGCTATATTGGAAATGGTGAGAATATTGCAGGATAAAAAGATAAGGAAAGACAGTCAGCTCACCTTAACCCCAGGTCTTACTTTGTCTCAGTCCTGGCACACCCAAGCTCTCCACTTTCACCTTTTTGGCCCACCTGACCCTTTAGCTGCTCTGAGATGCCATGGCCTAGGTGGAAACCAGGGATTTTGTCCTTTAAGTCAGCTGCTGTGACATTAAGTTTTTCAAGAGGAACTTTATTAGAAAACCAAAGGAACATACAAACATTTGAATCCATATGCAGAACAAAAGAATAGTAGGAATCCCATGTAAGGAGGTTGACTATCAAAGCCCTGAGACCAGGTAAGGTCCAGCGATGGTCCGGTTGCTACTTCAGCTGTTTGTCCTTGGCCCCATGGACCTGTTTAAGGTTTGTCAGTTGGTTTTGCTTTCAGTGATACTGAACCAACTTTCTGAAACAGGAGTTCCAGCTGCCTGCACATTTGAATACCTAGGAATCTTTTTGCTGCCTCTCCCAGACCAATTAAATCAAAATCTCTAAGTGGAGTTCAGGTATCAAGGCATTTAAAAGTTCCCAAGGTGATTCTAATTCATAGCCAGTGCTGAAAATCCATGCACACTGGAATCACCTGTAAAAACCTACCGGTGCTTGTGTCCCACACTTGGAAATTCTGATTAATTGGTATTAGGTGTGGTCTGGGCAGTGCGAGTTTTTAAAGTTCTCCAGGTGATTTTTAATGTGCAGCAAAATTTGAAAACTATAGCTCCTCACACTTTAATGTACATCAAATTTCTCATGGATCTTGCTAGAAACTGACACAGAAGATCTTGGGTGGGGCCTGAGACTCTGTGGGTCTAACAATTGCTGGGTGATATGGTACTGCTGGGCTTCAGACTACACTGATGAATGAGGGCCTAGATCAGTGGATCTGAAGCTCGGGTGCCCACTGGAATTACGTGGGGGCCCTTAAAAACCTCCTCAGCCGGGGGCTGGGGATTTAGCTCAGCGGCACAGCGCCTGCCTGGCAAGAGCGAGGTCATGAGTTCGATTTCCGGTACCGGAAAAAAAAAAACTACCTCAGCCTGAGTGTCACCCACCCCAGAGAGTCTAATACAGTGATCAGAGGTGGGGCCAGGGCAGCAGGACTATAAAAGCTCCCCACATGATTTCAATATGCAGCCAAAGTTGAGGACCTTGGCTGTACAGCAACACCTAGGCATCATTTTACAAGTGGCCCTGTGACCCCCAGTGGGGAATACCACTCTCCACAAGCTGTTCTGACTCACCTCTGTTCCCTGCCCCAGCAGGCAGAAGATGCTTTCTCCCCCTGACTCAAAAGGCCATGCCCTCTAGTAAAAATTCCCTTTCTCCCACATGGGGCTGAATACAGCCTCTAATTTCCAGCTCAGCTGCAGAAGAAAGATGATTGCCACATACCCTGAGACCGTGGCCGGTCTGAACCCGCCCACCCTGCCTTGTGATTGCCAGCTGTTCCCCTTGCTGAAGTGGCCTTCTCCAAAGCCTCTGCCAAGGAGCCGTGAGCTGCAGAGCAGCAAATGTCACCGGCAATCGCACACAGAGTAAAGAAAGTCTGTGCTTGGTAGGACACCACGCATCAAAGGTGCCCAGCCATTTTCAAGGCTTAATCCCGTAGTCCCCAAGTTCCTTTCTTCTCCTACTCCATCCCTTTGAAATGGAATTGCAGTGACACAGGGCACAGATGTGGCCTGCAGAAAACCAAAGGGAGAACATGCAATTAACAAAAGGATTATTCCATTGTTGCTGTAATTTCCATCAAATTATTCATGAATTTTTTTTCCCTACAGGGGGACTGTAAATACCATTTGTAGTACATCTTCCCCAACAGCTTTTGCCTTCTGTAGGACCCGTATCTTCTGTTGGAAGGCGGATGTTGCTGGTAGGAATGCGAGTCCACCTCTTGGGTGTACGGAGTTTGTGTAAAATATGAACTCTAACGTGTAGAATTTGCAGGTCGCTGAAGTGTCACAGTCTACTGAAACGGGTCTGGAATCAATAAGGTACACATCAAACTCAATTGTATTTAATTTTCATTGCTACCTAGAGGAAAGCCTCACACGGCCCTATATGCATGAAATTAAACATGAAAGCCTGTCTAGAGTGTAGAAGCGATACTTAAATGACCTGTAAATAGGGTAAAACATGGCAGCCCAGCCCATCGCAGGATTACCCTTCCTTTCTCTTACCACAGTGTGGGTGACAGCCCCCATAAGAAAATCGGAAGGGACACAAGCACATGGCAGATCTGAAGGAGAACTAATGGGGCTTCCCTCTTTGCATATCCTGGAGTCTCTTCCAAGTGGAAAATTATACTATGTCTTTCAATGAAGAACGAAGAGTGGAGACAACTAAAACGAGGCCCTCCTGATTTTGGTCCCCCACCCTGCCTGCCCCCGCCACGCCATGGCTCCATTCCTTGGCCAGTGACATAATGGAAGGCTCAGGTCCCACAGCTGCCACTGTGGGGAGGGAGCAGAGGCCCACACTGCACACTTCCAGCTGACACTGACCTTTCAGTCGTGGAAACATTCCCCAGACCGACACTAATCAGGGGCACATCTGGTGTTTGGACGGAGGCCAGATGGGGGTTTGTGTTAGTCAAGTCAGCAGATAACCCGCTGGGGAGGCAGGGTGGGAGCAGTGCACCTCCTTGGATAGCAGTCCCCATCTTTGGCTTTGTGTGTGAGATACGGTCATGCTGTCCCTGGCGGATCACAGAAGAGAGACCGCCTAATCCCTGTCCACCCACTCTCCCTGTCCCACCAACAGAAGACACAACTGGACTGGCCCACAGAGCCAAAGCGACTTCCTCCATTCCACAGCTGGCCAGGGCCAGGCTAAAGTTCAGGGTCCAACTCCCAGTATGGTGCTTCCCATGTCTCTATACCCACTCCGAGTACAGCGTGAGCTCACAATCACACGCAGGTTAAGGTGTTGAAAAGCACCCAGCTGTTTCTCCTCCTTGGACTTCCCGTGCTTTGCAAGGCATTTGAGGCAGTGATGAGCTCCTTGGGCCACCTCCACCCCTCGCTCCCATCTACCCACCCCAATTCTCCCATTGTGGTTTCCTTTTTGAATTTGAAAGGAGCCACTCTTCCTGACTAGATCCTAGACTTTTATCAGAAGAGACCTGATACCAAATCTCTCATCTCCAGAATAATGGAGGGAAATTGGGAACAAGACCGCGTACTAACAAAGATCCAGCCAGACAGGTCAGGAATGAGAAAGGGCCCTGACCACTTTTCAGCCTCTGCTTTTGCAAAGTTTTGTACATGTTGCAGCTGTAAACAGCACTGCTCAAAAACCAAGCATGCCCACCAAAGCCAGGATGAAAGCGATTGTGGCCCCACCCACACAGAAGGCGATGTCTGGCTGTCAGAAAGAAGTGCTCTCCGCCACCCCCGGGTCCCTCTCCTCCTTTGTGGGCGCCCCAGTCTACCCCAGTGATCTCGTGCTGTACACACCTCCAGGCACAGATGGGGATCAGGAATCGCATCATCTGCTTGAATCGCAAAGTGCTTCGTGAGATTTTCTAGTATAAATAATTTCTAACTGCAGAGGTCTGTTCATCCTTCTCCCCTTGACTTCTTACAGATCCATAAAGCAGCAGTGCAATAACCCAGGTAAATGCAAGACAGTGGTCAACGGTCAGTTTCCAAAGATCAACCTGAGCTCCTTCTGAATTAATAATCAGTTTGCAGAGTTTTCCAGCCGCTTCTCTTCCTTCCACATCAGCCTGCACGCAAAGTGCAGCTTCCAGCCACCATCAGTCAGGTCTGTCCTTCCAGAATAATCGGGGAAAATACCTTCACTCCAATTCCCTTACACGCTCATGATCACACAACCCCACAGACCTCTCGCTTCTGTTGTCCCATCTGAGAAACGAGCTGTATCCGCCGGGGTGGACAGGGCAGTAGTAACTGAGCCACAAGAACAACCATCACCCCCCCCCCTTGAGGAAAAGCCCATCAGCTCCACGGTCCTCAAGAAGCCTTGGTGACACTCCACAAGACCTCCAGGCTCTGAGCAGCAGCTCGCAGACACTGTCGTTCTCTCTAAGCCAGTTGGGGTCTCTGTTGGTGCCAGCCCTGGTTGTTTTGTTTTTCTTTCCTCACCAGTGATTTGGTACAAAGCCATTTCATGTTCTGCGCCAAACCAGTAATTCGCAACACTCATCAAAATCAGCCACCATCCACTGACTCAGCATTCTGCTCTGCTCGCCCAGCCAGCCTCCCTAACACCCCAGCATCCCTGCCTTTAGCTTCACTGTTTACACCACATGGGTGATTTGGGATCGCAAAGCCCAGTTCCCTATAAAGTACATAGATGACTCATGATCTCTGACAAGACTTCCCAGCCCAGGGCTTGATGTCCAAGCCAGGCAGCTCCTCTCTTGGGGCTCAGAGAAGATAGAATGGGGGGGAGTCCTGTTACTATGGTAACGACTGCCAGTTTCCAAACTAGAAAGACAACACTGCTTCACAAAGGTGTCCTGAGGGAGCTTCCATCCTACAGCAGCTGTGGACACAGCCTAAGATCACCGCGGGGCCTCAGGCCACACTGCGCACTCCCCAGTGCCTGGGTCACCCTCCTGCACAAGGACAGTGGACCCCCCACAGACGCCCCAACAGGCTTCCCAAACAGTTTCTTCAGACCAGCTCCAGAGCCGAATTAAGAGCCCTCTCCACATCTGTAGACAAAAAGGGTTTTTGACTAAATTCCACATTTGAGAGAGTGAAATTCCGTTAACGTTTTAGGGGTGGGTGAGAGGATGACAAATAACAACTTGTCTGAATGTTTTACATTTCTCCCCCACGGCCTCGGGAAGGTTCACAGTGAGGTCATCGATGATAAGGAGCAAGACCTCCCAGCTGGACTGCTCCGCAGCCCCAAGAGGACACTCCGCAGAGATAAGCTGGCGGGACCCAGAGGCTGACTCAGTCTAGAGAAGGACGGGACCAAGTTGCTGCGAAAGGGAGCCAAGTTCTCAGAGACAGGATATCTAGAAGGGAGATTGAAGTCTGAGGTTAGCGCAACTCTTCCCAGGAGCAAGGAGAAAGGGACAGTGCCATCAGGTGGGACATATCACTGACATGGTAAGCTCCAAACACCAAGGTTTCAGCTGTTGGAAGACCCTTCAGGCAGAGATAATAAAAAAATAATAATAACAATACACTTCAGGGGCGCACTTTGCCAAGAGAATTTCTGTTATGAGACTAGAGAACATCACATGCCCATTTTACAGATGAGAAGATTGAGACTTTGAGAGGATAGCTAAAGACACATAGCTAGTAAGTGAAAAAGCTGGGATCCAATTTAAGATCTATATAACCAGAGTGCACAGTCCTGACCACTTGTAGAGCAAGGGGCCCTACAAATGGTGACCATATCCATCAGACAGTTAGACACTAATAATGGTGGAAGAGTGGCACTTGTACTAGTATGTGCTGGAAGGAGTTCTAAAACTCCAAAAGACAGTGTTTGGCTTCATACCGACCGTGGAATTCGTCACCCCCTCCATGCAGCACCATTTTCAGGAAGAGTATCACAACATTCATCCAGAGCCTTTGCATCCTAGCCAAGTGTGGGGCCTGTAATATCAGCACTCTGGGAGGCTGAGGCAGGAGGATCAAAAGCTTGAGTCTTACCTGGGCAACTTAGCAAGACTATCACAAAATAAAAAAGAAAAGAAAGTGCTGGGGATGCCATTCAGTGCGAAAGTCCTGGGTTCAATTCCTAGCACTACAGAATGAATTTTTTAAAAAGCGTTTCCATTCCATGGCCAAATAGAATTCCAACACTCCTACCAACAAAACACAGCTGAGCGTGGTGGGCTGTGCTCAGACTTCTCAGCAGAGGCTTTCAATGTCCCATCTGTAAAGAGGGATCCCAATCCATAGTTTCTCCATTTCTTAGAGTCTTGGAGGAGACAGTAGGCCCTTGGGAGGCTCAAAACGTAACACCAGAGCAGGATGAGGAGGCTCCCACACACCTCATTCTTGCCCAGGAATTTCCTCCGGTTTCCCATACCCTGCCCTTCCCCCAATTACCCACCAGAATTTGGCCAAAGGCCTCAAGAAGTCCGCAATGGGGCAGAATCAGGGCAAGGGTCAGATTTTCTCTTTCAGTTGATTGTTTGCTGATTACTTTCAGCTTGATCTGGTGCAGCCAAATCCATCAATGTCTGCAGGCAGAGGGAGGGGAAAGGAACAGCAACTCCGAAGCGCGCATCGGGTGTTTAAAGCACGGCTCAGAGTAAGAAGCACGGGAAGCTAAACTGGAGAAGAAGGTGCAGTGGCAGAAAGTTAAGGGATCTAAAGAGTCCCCGAGGTACTAGAAGGACCAGCAGAGTAAGAGTTTTAAGAGGTGATAAAGGTAACTGGCTGTCAAAGGAGGCAGATATTGCTAAAGAAACAAATGAAATTGATTCCCTTCTCAAGCCAGCGTAAAGGTGAATGGCTACCAGATGGTCAGACAGAAGTACCTGTCCACAGGCTGCTGAAGGGAAAAACAAATGCAAGAAGAAATTGGATCCACGACAGAGCCAGTAAGCAGGAAATTAAAATATCTGTAGCCTGACCACAACGCGAGACCACACACATTCGGGAAGAAGCCGAGAAGACAGAATGAGTGTCAGCACTGACCCTCTGCCTGCCAGCCCACGCCCAGAGAGCTGGTCACAAACCTCATGCTTCCGGAGAGAAGGACTTTCTGAGAAAGTCCAGCAAAGCCAACAGAGATGGAGACAGCAGAGACCTAGACCACTCCAGGAAAACCTAGCACACAGACCAGGCAAGTCATGTGATCAAGTAACGCCATCTTTTCCTAAGATACTAAGTACCAGGCACTTTTGCTGGATCTTTCTACATATTATAGGCAGCTCTGAAATGTCTCTCTGTGATTCTTCCCTCCCAAGTAATATCTTTCCCTTAAGTGTGGGTTGGATCTAGTGACTTGAATCTGATTCATAGAATATGAGACAAATGATAGGATCTCACTCCCATCAAAAAAAGAAAAAAAAAAATCTCCCAGCTGAGAATACTGGCGCATGTAGGAGGCTAAGGCAGGAGGATCACGTGTTCAAGCCCCGCCTAGGCAATTTAGCAAGACCCTATCTCCAAAGAGGGATGGAGCTCAGTGTGAAGGCCCTGGGTTCAATCCCCATACCACAAAAAAAAAAAAACCTTTCTTCAATTTATGCTTCACAGACCCCATCTCTCTGCCCCTGACCAGCCTCTTTCAGTTCAGATTCTGGCCATCCGTTCCATGGACTTGTTGCTATTCTCTTCCCTAGGAAACACGCGCAGGAGCACGCGCGCGCGCACACACACACGCACACACACACACACTCCAGGAGTAGGAGGGACCCCAGCCCCCTCTTGCCATTATTCAGCTCCTTCCCAATCAATCTCCTGCCAACCACAAATTAGCATTACACAGGCATTTACAGTGCGGTCCCCAGGGATAGATGGAAACTGCTAATCCTTCAGAAGGGGCACCATACAATGGTGAGAGGCCCACAGCCTCCCCGCCCAGGGGGTTTTCCTTTGCAGCACTTCCAGCTCTTTTGTGAGCTGTCCAAGTCAACCACAGATGGTGGAGCTGCTGGGCCTTGAGCAAAGTGGAGACAGGGAGCCCAAGGTGCGCCATGCTTGGCACAAGGCTGCGTGACACACGTTCCTGAGCGCTTGGCTTCTCCCAGGCAGACGACGGCTGTGAGCTACATGGCTTCTCAGAGCTGCCCTGCTCTGTCTGCACATCCTTCCCTCCTCCTTTTCCCATTACTGAATGGCTCCAGGTGAGACCCAAGCAGGGCATGACCTCCCCTGGGCCAGGCAGTGGATCTAACCAGCCCCACCCTCTCAGCAACTTGAGGGTTATGGGGGGTGGCTTTTTGTTTTGCTTTGTTGTTTTGTTTTTCTTAGGGGCTTGATCTGGCCTTCTGAAATCTGATTGGAATTCCTGATCCCAAAGGAAGGCAGCCCCGGCTGGGCTCTCAGGGCCATTCTGATCCCCACGCTGCCCGCAGTCCCTGGGGCTCCACACTTGCTGCCCTTCGTGCTGGCTCGCAGAGGCTGGCTCTGGCTGCAGCTCAGCTGTGAGCCTTATCCCGCAGCTGGCTCTTGGAACCAGGGGAGCCTGCAAGAAGGGAAGCCTCTTATCACAAACATTTCCTGCCTATTCCCTCCCGACCCTGCATACCACAGCCCTTCTCCGGCGCGCTGGGCCACCAACGCAGCCACACAGCACTAACAACCTCTTCACAAAGAGCTTGCAAGGCACAGTCCCAGGATGTCTCTGCTTCAGCTTCTTCACCCTGGGCACGGCCTCGTCCTCCAAGGAGCTCAGAAGCTCTTACGGGCCACCCAAAGGTTCCGTCACCAACGTTCCGGAAGTCAGGTGGACCCTGGAGGAAAGAGTACACAGGGCTGGTTAAGGGTTTCTACTTCAGAGAGAAGCAGTGGCTCACTGCTGGAGCTTTGCCCACCTCTAGGACCCCACCGTGCTCAACGCAGAGTTGGGAGACAGCTACACCCCGGAGCACCCTGCGCCCGTCCACAGCCTCCGGGGTGTGTGCACATGTGTGCTTCACGTGGGCTTGCAGCGTGTGGCCTCTGGGTGGTTTGTGAGCTGGGGCGCCAGCCCAGCCCAGCTGTGCACAGCGGGTCACCGAGTTCCAGGCCCCTCTCCCCTCCCGCACCTGGGGCACCCTAGTCCCACCCCTCCCCGCAGCCCACAGCGGCCTCTCCGCCTCCTGCCCGAGCTTGCTGTGTGGTCTGAGCCCTCTGCCACCAGAAGAGCCAAGGAGGGAGGGATGGGCCCGCGTGTTTACACTCAAGCATAACTGAACCTTTATTTTAAATAAATACAACTTTTAGCCAGTTTTTATTTCCCCTTTCTTTCCAATAGCAGTTTTCTCCCTCGTCCCCCTCCTCCTCGTGGCTGAGGTTTTATCTGTGGGGCCACCCAGGGAGGGGTAATGGGAGGGGGGGACAGAAGCCAGACTGACCCTGGTTCGGAGCGTCTTCTCAGGCCACAAGTCGGGTTCTTCTCCCACCCTTCTCTCCCTCTCATTCTCTCCCTCCTGCAGAGCCCTGTGCTTCCTGTGCGTTTGGAGATATCCAGGCTGAGGAAGAGACTAAACAGGAAGCCCAGGCTCTGTCGTCAGCACGCTGCAGGCTGCCCATCTGCTCCCCTAACCGTAGGCCTGCCTGCCCTTACTGTCCCACCCCACCACGA